AATGAAAAATGGGGTGTTCCATTTAAAAAAATTAATGTGACCTTGACCTGACCTTCGCTACGCAACCCAAGGTCAAACTGATGTGATCAGTAAATACATCTTTTTAAACGCCACAACTTTTATCGGAAACATTTTTTTCTAAAATGCTTAGTTATCGAGATATTTCACCGGTCCGGGACTTTTTGAACACCCTGTATATTGGGAGTGTGCATTCATTTTAATGGATTTTCAAGAGATGGCGTAACTAGTATTATATCGCATCGGGCCATATTGTTGCTACCTTCATGTCAAAGCACCATCATGTGGTTTTAGTTTTCAGTATGTGTTATTTTACCGAAGTGTAAACAACATTGTTTTCTTGAGCATTGAATATGTCAAATTTTGTGCTACCAAAGCGCAATTTGCGAAAAGCTTTACTTTTTTGCTTCCATTTGAAGAAAAGTACTGCTGAAAGTCAACAAATGTTGTCGAAAGCTTATGGCGCTTATACTCCATTGATTTCAACATGTGAGTACTGGTTTCGACCCTATAAAAAAGGTGATTTTGACACGGAAGGCAACAAACGCCCAGGCCAGCCGAAAAAGTTTAAAGATGAGGAAGTGGAAGCTTTACTCGATCAAGACCTGAGTCAAACGCAAGAAGAACTTGCAAAATCATTAAATGTTGATCGATCAACGATTTCCAGACGTTTGAAGGCCATTGGAATGATTCAAAAGCAAGGAAATTTGGTGCCGTACAAGTTGAAGCCGAGGAACGTCAAGAGGCGCAAAATGACCTGTGAATTATTGCTTCAAAGACAGAAGAAAAAGTTTTTTGCATCGTATTGTGACGGGTGATGAAAAATGAATACGTTACGATAATCCGAAGCGCAAAAAATCATGGTGCAGGCCAGGCGAACCATCAACATCGACGGCAAAACCGAATATTCATGGCGCCAAGCTCATGCTCTGTATCTGGTGGGATCAGCTGGGTGTAGTATATTATGAGCTGCTCCAACCCAACGAAACCATCGTTGGAGGACGCTACCAACAATAATTGATGCAATTAAGCCGAGCATTGAAGCAAAAACGACCAGATTACGCAAAAAGACAGACAAAGTGATTTTCCAGCACGACAACGCTTGGCCACATGTTGCGAAACCGGTCAAGGAAACGTTAGAAGCGATTAACTGGAATGTCCTACCACACCCGTCGTATTCTCCAGATATTGCTTCTTCCGATTACCAACTATTTCGATCGATGACTCATGGCCTGTCTGAGCAGCGCTTCCATTCTTATGAGGATACCAAAAAATGGGTCGATTCGTGGATATATATATATATATATATATATATATATATATATATATATATATATAT